TCATCCACCATCGACGACCAAGAACAAAACCCTTAAGTGTTTGTATTTTTAACGCATGAGTTTTAACAATTTTCAATTCTCAAGAGGTTCTAAATCCAACAATCACAACAAGGAAGTAAAGCATTAGTGATCTAAACTCAAACAAATCTCCGGGACTCATATTGTTTTTACATCTCATTCCTTTCATTTCAAAACCAATTACCTTTTTCCTTCTACAATAACATTCTTCACCTTATGTCTTAACCCCAATTTTTTTACTTTATTTCACAAAAAACATGTCCAATTCACTTTCCATAATTTTGAATAGGAAATCTCTATCGTGGCGGCAAGTTATAATTCACATCATTTCTATTTAATGAAAATGTAATTCTTTAAATAAATCCAATTTCACGGTTGTGTTCCCTTTCGTTTTGTACAATTTACAATTTATTAATTTATTGTAATAAAACAGAGTCAAATCCAACACCAAGATAATACCCAAATCATAAAGTCCAATTTAAAATCTTAAATCAAATTCCAACACACTAACCTCATTTCATAAGTTTATTACATAATCATCTCACAATTTCCATCCATTTTTATCCATTAGACATGACTATAAAATTTAGGGCTTTGATTTTCTACTCATGAATATAATAAATCACACCCCAAATTTAACCCAACATTCTCCACCTCATGAAATTTCAATCTCTACACCCATATCTTATACCCTCTAACATGATTTTTGAAAATGAATCCATACCACATGGTTTTTATGCAATAAAAACATACCACATATTTATCTATAGTAGGGGCATTAAAAAGAATCAAAGAAATCCCTACCTCATGAAGCCAAGAGATGACGACCCAAAAGTCAATGGTGATGAAACCACGAACCAATCAAACCAAGAGGAAGCCCTCATCGAGATCTACACTTTTTCTTAAAGGACCATGGTGAAACAATCACTCTAGGTGAGTAGATCTAGAGATCTTAGTGCCAAAAACTTGATTTTAGAGAGAGAGGTGAGCTCATGGTTTGAGAGAGAGGAAAAGAGAGAAAAGTGAAATAAAATAATGTTTGGGACCTATTTATAGTTATAGAGAAGTAGCCCCAAGGTCAATAAAATAATAGGCCCAAAACCCCCCCAAAGATAGGGCCTAAACCAGCCCAAAAATCTGAAAAAAATACGCGGTGTCGACACCACCAAGGCTGGTGTCGACCTTATTTTCCAGCCACCAACATACACAGATTCTGCAACACAAGAGGGTCAACCCTTTCCCAGACTGGTGTCTACTCTTGCGGACAGTAACAAGAGGCAGGTGTCGACACCACCAAGGTTGGTGTCGACCCTATATTCCAGCGACACTTCAAGAAACATTATAACATGCAAGGATCGACCCTTAGGAAGGCTAGTGTCGATCCCAAGGAAAAATTTCTAAGTTTCCAGAACAAACACGAACAACCAAACCCAACAAGATTAAATCAGATTATACTCCTTCAAAACCAACATTCAATAACACCAAGGATTCCCAAAACAAAATAAAGGATTCAAATACACTTCCCAAAAGTTTTAAAAAGGGTACAAATGCTACAAAATACACCTCTTGAGATTTACTTAAATACAAATTACTTTTTGTGGTTCTGAAAATTACACCTCACTCCTTCAAGTTTATAATCTCATAACAAATGATCTATTTTATTAATAAATTATCAAGTCAATTAATAATTTTAATGATATTAGAAATGCATTTCAATTAACGATTTAGATAATTTTATTGTGATATAAGAGCGTAATTAGGAATTTAATTTCTTCATTAATTATGTTAAATAAAAAATTATGATAAGGAGATATTTATAATTTCAAAAACCATAAAACGCTATGTATTTTAAGTAAGGAGTTAGTTTCTCTCAACTTGTCATTTTAACTTGAGAAAGCGTCCGAGTTTGGTAGACTCATTTTGAAATCGATTCTCATGATCCGAACCGTTTATTTTTTTAGATTCGTTGAGTTGAATATTCATGCAAAAAATTAGATGATCGGACATCAGTAACTATGTGTTTGAATCATATTTGTTTTATAAAAAAATAGACGATAAATATAATTTCATGAATAACCATTTATTTTGTAATACAAATTTGATTAAAATAGATAGTTATTAATATCCGATCATCTTAATTTTTTACATGAATATTCTACTCAACAAGTTCAATAAACGATTCGGATCATTGAAACGAAATATATGATAGCCTTTACAGGATTATCAAATTTTCTTATATTGAGATGTGAATATGATAAACCTAACTTTAGGCCTCGTTTGGGAACAAGCTAATTTAGTAACTTTTTGACTATTTAGCTAAAATATGAGCTAAAAAAAACTAGTATGTTTGGGATAACTTTTGATTTTTTACGAAAAGATGTGCAAAAAAGTAGAGAGAAAAGAGAATGTTTGATTTTTTGGTATGGGTTGTTGGTTTTTTGGCTAATTTAGTAACTTTTTAACTTTTTAGCTAAAATTGAGGGTTCTCAAACGAGGCCTAAGTCTCAATTTTAGTTAGTTGAGACTATAAAAGTACGAAAAGATAAAATAGACTAAATTAGTTAATAAGATAAAATATCACATCCAAATTATAATCATTTTATTTTTTCTTTCATAAATAGTCAAAAAAGTTAAAAAAAAATTCCAAACAAAACTAATTTAACCAATATAAATTAAAAAAAATTAAAAAAATAAGCTAAAAAAGTTCTTTTCGAATGAATCCACAATACTTGTTTGATAACTTTTAATTTTAATAAAAAAGCCAAAATATTATTAATCACTCTTTTTATTTATTTTTATTTATTCTTATAAAAAAATTTAAAAATTATTAAAATAATTTATTTCTAAACAGGATCTTGCCTAAAAAAAAAATGGTGTAATTTATAATATTTTTATTTACCTTAACAAGTCCCACATAAAAGTAAGGATAGAAATGTTTTAAAATTTTAAATCTCGTTTGACAAATAATTTTTTTAATTAAAAATTAAAAAATTATTAAAAATTTAAAAAATTAATAATTTATATTAAAAAGTTAAATTTTTTTTTCTCTACTCTTTGTATATCTTTTCTTAAAAAATTAAAAATTCATCTCAAATATATAAATTTTTTTATTTCATATTTTAATTAAAAAGTCAAAAAATTATTAAAAAATTTGTTCCCAGACTAGATCGTAATAATTCTAATGTGAGTGTGGTCCCACATAATAGGATATTTTGATCTTACGTTTTTTTTCTTCTAATTTTTCAACTCATTATAATTGATTTAACGCTTCAAATTTAAAATTATCAATCACTGCTCAAGCAAGAATATGAGTGAAGGTGATGCATGCTGACTGCAGTTTGACTCTGTCTTATCCCTATATTCTGGTCCGTCTTCAACCCCATTTTGGCGCGTGCTATCACCCTCTTCATCTGCATCTGGGCTTCTTCACACAGTTACATAAAACTTCTTCACAATTTTTCTCTTCATTTTCCTACATTTCGTGTTCGTCGTCTTCCTTCCGTTAGTTTAGAATTATGAGGAAGTGATTGACATTACTAATTCTTTAATATTATTAATAGGATTTTTATTTTGATAAATAGAGAGAGGATTATTAGTTTCTTGATATTAATAATCCCCTTAAAAAGAGAATTGATAAAGAAAAAGCAGAGATGATATTAAAAAAATAGTAAAGAAATTATAATTTTTTTTTATTTTTTATATATTGAGAATTTTTTTTAAATATAATGTTTAATTTTTTATATTTTTTTATTATTTTATATGAAAATAATTTAACAATTCTTCATTATCAATCCCCTCATTATTAATCTTCTCACTAACAATTCACTCACTATTAATGCTCTCACTATGAATCCCTCCATTCTATCTCCAACCGATCCTCTCCCAAAAACAACTCTAACCCATCCTCTATATCCTCCTCCATTTGAGAGGAGGGTGAATTGATCCTCCAAATATAGAGGGAGGATGAAAAAATAAAGGAGATTCTAAAACACTATTCACTCTATATTTCTTAATTATATTCTAAATAACTTTTAATGCGTAAATTTAATTTTTATAAAAATGACATCAATAAAAAGTATAAAATCATACCTTTAAAATGAGTATAATATTAAATATGTTTTACAAAAATTTTAAAATTAAATATTTATTAATGAACAAAAATTACTTTTTGATTGGAGTTTGAATGAAGAAAATGAAAGTTTGTGGTTGAAGTTTAAATGAATAGTGACCTCCTCTATATTTACTTTTTGAATAAAAAATATTATAAGAGGATGTGGTTGGAGATGCTCTTATGCTATGTTTGGATTGAGTGATTTGGAGAGAAAAGAAAAGAAATGGAGTCTCTTATTTGTTTGGATAATCTAAGTAGAGAGAAATGAGATGAAATGAAGAGAAATTGAGAGAAACTCATTTTTCTTATAAACCTCATTTTCAATCTTCCAAAAGTAGAGAGATTGGGAGAGAAAAGAAACCACTATTTTCATAATACTAATTTTGTCCCTATAAAAATAAAAGAAATAAAATGATTAAAAATATAAAAAGATTATTTTAATAATATAACATAAAATAATTTCTTTTCTTTAACCAAACAAGAATAAGAAAAATTACAATCATTTCTTTTTTTTTATTTCTTTCTTATCTAAATAAAAAAAAAAATAACAATTATTATTTTTTTTTTCTTTTCTCTTATTACTTAGCCTGTGTTTGGCAAGTGGGTTTGCAGGCTTTTTTGGCTATTTTAGCCACAAAAAATAAAATAGGCTATTTTAGCCATAACAAACAAAACATCGCATTCAACCCATAATCATTACATTATTCTCTCACAAAAAAACTCAAAAAAGTCAAAAAGCCAAAAAGCCCTTCCCAAACCAAACTTTTAAACCTAGGTTAAAATAGCCAAAAAAACCAAAAAACCAAAAAGCTAACCCACTTCCCAAACGGAGGCTTAAGTAACAATTTTCTTTTTTTTCCTCTCCTACGTTTCCAAACATACTGTTAGTACTCATCCTCTTCTTCTTCTGCTCTCTCTCTCTCTGTAAACCCTAAACTCTCTCTCTAACTTTTCTCTCATTTCCGCCATGAAAATACCAGAAAACGACGACGACAACAACAACAACGAACCCATCAACCTTCTTCTCCAATCCCTCCTGGACTCAATACCCCACACCCAGAACTTCAAATCCAAATGGTCTCTCATCAGAACCAAACTCGCCGATCTCAAATCCCAACTCTCCGACCTCTCTTCCTTCCCCACCAACTCTCTCGCTCTAGACCTCCTCTCCTCCGCCTCCTCCACCCTCTCCGCCGCCCTCTCTCTCTCCTCCACCTGCCAAAATCCCACCCTCCCCCACGGCAAGCTCCGCACCCAAAACGACGTCGACTCCATCTCCGCCCGCCTCGACCGCCTCATAGCCGACGCCCACGTCCTCATCAAGAGCGGCGTTCTTCACGACGCCGCCGCCGCCGTCGCTGTCTCCAGCTCCAAGAGGGAGTGTGTGAGGGTGGAGGCGAGGAATTTGATTACTCGGTTGCAGATTGGGACGACCGAGTCGAAAAACTCGGCGATGGATTCGATGCTAGGGCTTCTTCAGGAAGATGACAAGAACGTGTTGATCGCGGTGGCTCAGGGGGTGGTTCCGGTGCTCGTGCGTTTACTGGATTCGAGCTCTTCGCCGGAGATCAAGGGGAAAACCGTCACCGCCATTTCTAGGGTTTCGACTGTCGATTCGAGCAAACACGTTTTAGTCGCCGAGGGATTGCTTCTTCTGAACAATCTCCTTCGAATCGTCGAATCGGGAAGTGGATTCGCCAAGGAAAAAGCTTGTATTGCGCTCCAATCGCTGAGCCATTTGAGGGAAAACGCGAGGGCAATTGGGTCCAGAGGTGGAATCTCCTCTCTCCTTGAGATTTGCCAAGCTGGAACTCCGAGTTCTCAGGCGGTCGCCGCCGGAGTACTCCGGAATTTGTCGATTTTCCCGGAAATCAAAGAGAACTTTATAGAAGAAAATGCGATTTCGATTCTTCTCTCGCTTTCAGCTTCTGGCACGAGCTTCGCGCAAGAGAATTCAATTGGGTGTTTGTGTAATTTAGTATCGGATGATGATGATCAATTGAAGCTGTTCATTGCTAGAGAAGGTGGGATTGAGAGTCTGAAGAATTTCTGGGACTCCGCTCCGACTCCTCGGAGTCTCGAAGTCGCTGTAGAACTGTTGAGAAACTTAGCCTCATGTCCATTGATCTCTGAAGTTATTGTTTCAGATGGGTTCGTAAACCGAATCGTATCGGTACTGAATTGTGGGGTTTTGGGAGTGAGAATTTCAGCTGCTAATGCTGTTTGCGAGCTTGGTTTCAACACGAAAACCCGAAAAGAATTGGGCGAATTGGGGTGCATTCCGCCATTAATTTCGATGTTGGAAGGTAAGGCGGTGGAGGAGAAAGAATCGGCGGCGAAAGCTTTGGCTTCGCTGATGGGTTATGCCGGAAATCGGAGGATTTTCAGAAAGGAAGAGAAAGGGATTGTTAGTACAGTTCAGCTTCTAGACCCTTCAACAACACAGAATTTGGATAAGAAATACCCTGTTTCTGTATTGCAATCGCTTGTTCATTCCAAGAAGTGTCGTAAACAGATGATCGCTGCTCGGCCTCATGATTTCTTGCAAAAACTAGTTGAAATGGATGTTGAGGGAGCTAAGAAGCTCTTGGAGAGCCTCGGCCGGAGCAAAATTTGGGGCGTTTTCGCACGATCGTAGAAGAAGAAGATGATTGAGGACACACTCACTCTGTATGTACAATAGATTGTCTTGTTTTGATTATGTTTTTTTAGCTATTTATTTATGGTTTTTTAGTGATTCTGTTCATAATTGCTGTTTGAATTTTGTGATAGATTAGTAGTAAATGTTGGGTAGTATAATTACTGGTGAAAGGTTTCTGTTTTGGAGATGTGTAATCTCTATTTGGTGAGCTAACTCGATTCGAGTTTCATGTTTTTTTTTTTTTTCCTACCAAAAATCAATAAATTAATAATGATGTTTTTACTTTGAGTTCATACATTGTTTTGCTATTTATTTGAGTTTTTATGCTTCTTGTATATGATTCTCATGAATAAGATAATTTTTGTATGCTTTTGATTTAATTTTACTTACATTTGGTGACAAAGATAAGGTGGTTTCATTTAATTATGGTCCATATGCAATTAGACTATTATACTAAATTCTAAGCAATATTTGTTTGGCTTTGGATTGTTTATTGTTGGAATCAGCCATTTTCTTTCCCAATTCAAGAATATGATGATCATTCTACTGCATACCCCATTATGCTTACTTAGTAGTAGAATGGTTATCAGAATCTCGATCCGGATCTTAGCATCTTACGATCTTACGATCCATTTGAGTACAATCGATCTGAATCGTGTAAAAAATTCCTTATAGGTAGGATCTTTCGATCCTTGTAGTGGGATCTTATAGGATCGCGGAATCCCGAACCGAATTCGATCCTATCCGATCTAATTTACAAGCCTTGTTTTGTATTGTATGACATATTTTATTGTAAATTTTATGTTTGTTTTCTAAATACCAATTTATATGGTCAAAATAAAATAATAAAAATTAAGTAGTATTGAATCAAATAGACTAAGAAAAACAAACTAGGAAACAAACATTCAAATATTGCGGTAATTTAAAAAAATTAAATATCGAAAAAACAAACTTAGCTTTAGCGGAGTCTAAGGAGGGTAAGATGATTGCAAATTTATCTCAATTTTTGGAGAGATTATTTTTGTGACTTGAATCCGCTCCAGCAGGGATGCTAACGACAAACTTTATCATTCGGTTAAGTTATTCTTTTGAGTTCTTATCTATTTTCATATCAACTTTCTTAAATATTTTTTCTTCACTTTTTATGCATCATTGTAGATTGTAAAGTATTTTGTTGTAGAACTCTTCTTCTTCTTCATCTTCTTTTTTGATGAAGTACAATACTTTTACCATCGAGTTTTCTATTGTATAATATTATATGTACATTTTATTACATGGAGTATTATATTTTTCACAATATCTTCACTTCTTTTTAATAGAATATAAGCTCATTTTGTGTATGCTTTATAAGAAATATTTATTTAAATTAAATTATTATGTAATCTGTCTTTTTTAGTAGGATCTTACGATCCTCAATCCGATTCTACGATCCGATCCTATAAACACGTCCAACGATCCAACGTAGGATCCCGATTTTAACAACCTTGAGTAGAAGATGTTGGGATGCAGTAGACTATGGTAGTGTTTTTTTGTTGGGTAGTGTGGATTTGATAAGGGTATTTATGGTATTTTAATGTGTGATTTGTTGCTTTGATTTCTATATATGTTTGTGGTTGTGGGGAGGTGGCTATCCCTTGTAACATTTCTGATCAAAGTGAACAAAAGTCGTGGATGTAGGTGAATCATGTAAATTTTTGTATTCATGCATGCTTGTGGCTGTTCTTTCTTGTGCATTCATGCATGCTTGTAAATTTTTCACCGATCTTAGTTGGGTGTTATGAACATTGTCTCTGTGGGATATGTTTGGTTGTATTTGTATTTTTCATTTTATCAAAAATATAAACAATGAAAATTTTTGTATGGTATAGTTATGCAAAAATTCCAAAACTAGTTTTCAAATAGTTCGCTAAATAAGTTTTTTGTATTTTTCGGAAAATGAAACACAAAACAAAAATTAAAAACAAACCCCAACAATATGCTTATACAGCCTGTATCCAGGTGAAGAATGATTTGGGTTTTGAGTAGGGGTGTGCGCGGTGCGGATCGGTGCCGTTTGAGAGAAAAATAGAAACCGTATGGCGGGTGGCGGATTGATAAAAGTATCACTAGAATTTGTCATTTTCCTCATCGAAAACCGGCGGTTCGGTTGGCAAATAATGGCGGATTTGCCTTGGCGGTTCGGGCGGATTGGCGGTTTATAAAAAATATAATTCAAATTACAAAACTTAAATCAAAGAGTAAAAAAAAGACGAGAGATATCGTAATGTTAAGCATCTTGTGAACCTTTCTTCTGATGCAGCAAGTGTAGCAACAACATGATAACATCAACGACTATACCATCAGTTCATTACAAGCATCCGTGGAAGCTACAATGATCAAATACAATATATAAAATTTCCCTGGAGCAGTAATGTAATACTATATTCTAAGGTATAGAATAACAAGCAAACTTAAGTAAAAAAGAATTTTTAGAATCCTATAAAACATGATTTAATAGCGGTGCGGGTCGGTGCGGTTTGGAAGAAAAATAGAAACCGGCGGATTGATAAAAGTGTCACTAGAATTTGCCATTTTTCTTACCAAAAACCGGCGGTACGATTGACAAATAATAACGAATTTGCCTTGGCGGTGCGGTTTTGACGGTTTCGGCGGTATTACGCACCCCCTAGTTTTGAGTAAATGAACTATTAAAAGAACTCCTTTAAGAATGTGAGAAGTGATGGTGGTTCAAATATGCTAGGGTATAAATCATCTGCTTTGAATTAACCATTCTCTTATAAAATATTAATAGTATTTTTGCAGTAATATCAATAATATGATTTGGTACTCCCACTCAATTCACTTGATGATTTGATATCCTTGTATTGGTAGGTGTGGATTGTGGATTGTAGGCCTTGTGTTGTATTTACTTGCATCAATAATCCTTGGTCCCAAAATCATCCCACTTGAAAATTTTTTTGTATGACAGAAAGTATGTATTCTTTCACTCGTTGTTTGTTATATAAAAAAAAAATAGAACTCGCAGTCTGATGTGGCTAATATTGTTAAGAATCATTTGATTTAATACGATGTATTCGTACAATTTTATATATTTACATATATAAAATATTTACATATATAAATACATAGTGTTTAAAATAAAATAAAATATATTAATATAAATAATTAATCTCTTTTATATATCTGGATAGTTTGGCGAAAACAACTTTCATTTCATGCATTGTGTAAACCAAAAAAAAAACAAAGGAATTGAATCGAAATTCAAATCGTGCAATTCAATCAATTTTCAAATTTTTTTTTTTTGGAATGTATATAGGGATAAATTTTATCTCACAAACAAGCATTCCAATTGGTTTCAAGTTTTTTCTATTAATCTTTTAAGTCCTATTAGTGGAGAGTTTCTTTTCGTGTGGTCTTATTTTTTTTATTTTGATAGTGTTTTGATGGACAACTACACCCTTTTATTAATGTGACAGGTATGATGTGATACTCTAATGTGACAGGTATTAATGTGACAAGTATGATGTAATATTATAATGTGGCAAGTATTAATGTGACACTTCAAAAAATTAAAAAATTCCTTAGTGCATTTTTCTTAAATATGATGACATGTATGACGTGACATTCCAAAACTTTTACTCTAAAAAAAATAACAATTTTTTAGTGTATTTTTCTCAAATGTGACAAAGTGGCGGGTATAATATAACACTTCAAAAAAAATAAAAGCTCATTAGTGTACTTTTTTCAAACATAACAACGTGATGGGAATTGTAATTCCACCTCTTAGTTTGAACGTGGTGTTTGGTTATAGTTTTTAAAAATTAATTCCACTCACTTTTGAAAACTCCTTTTTAGGTGGGAAAATTTGACTAACCCGATCGTCCCCCGGACGTCTGGCCGGTTGACCGGAATCGTGTACGTTGTTGTTGTTGTTGTTTTTTTTTTTTTTTTTTCACCTTTTATTTTTATATTTTAAATAAAAAATATTTTCAGAATTTTTTAAATTTTTTTTATGGGCTTTGAATTAGATTTTGGATTGTGTATTTGGTTATGAGTCGTAAATTTTTGTATTAAATATTATATATCACATCATTCATTTCAAATTCAATTCAAAACTCTTTCCAAAACTCTTTTTAAAATTCATAACCAAACAAATTTTTCATACTCAAATCATAATTTCAAAACTCACAAACTTAAAATACAATTCTATTTCCAAATCATATTTAAAAAAATCTACCAAACGCTACCAAAAATTCTTTAGTATATTTTTCTCAAACGTGACAACATGACAGGTATAATGTGACACTCTAAAAAAATTAAAAACTTATTAGTGCATTTTTCTCAAACGTAACAACGTGGCGGCTATGATGTGATATTCTAAAAAAATTAAAAACTCCTTAGTATATATTTTTTTGCAAACGTGACATGTGACACTCCAACGTGATAGGAATGATGTGACGTTCTAAAAAAATTAAAAACTTTTTAATATACTTTTTTTAAATGTGACATTATAATGTAGTGACTATAATGTGACACTAAAAAACTCTTTAGTATACTTTTTCTAAATGTGACACTCCAATGTGGCGGGCAAATGGGTTATTACATATCCAAAATGACTAAATAGATCAGAAAAAAAAAATTATATAAATTATAAGTCTAAAATATAAGACTTATCGATCAATTTTTTATGTATGTAAGTACAAAGTGACTTTTGAATCTCATTTTTTCCGCATAGCAAATAAGGAGTAAAAAGATATACCAAATTAGCTCTATCACGTGACTAATCATTTATATAAAATCCTTTCTTTTAACATATTAATTCAATTACATGATGTATCGTTATGTAAAATAATTTCTCTTTACTTAAAACTCTATATATGTGGTATAAAATCGCTAGAGTTAATATAAGTTAGTTTTGTAGTTCATTGACGGTGGCATGAATGGGCATCTTCTTGCTATGGTTGGTGGGTTAAGGGGCCATGTGCGTTTGTCCCATACGTTGTCCCACACACTGCTTTCATATGCTGGTAGGTAGTTAATGGAACAGGTAAGGATCTGTTGAAATCTATTTGTTTTTTTTTGGGAGGAGAACAAAGAAAAGCTAGAACTATAACTTTTAGGCTAGCAAAGAAGCTCTTTCAAATTGACTTACTGGAGGATTATGATGATGCTAGTCAAGCCCTATTTAGAGGATTTGGGGGTTGGGTTGGTAAGCTAATTTTTTTAGGAGGAGAACAGAAAAAAAAGCTAGAACTATAACTTTTAGGCTAGCAAAGAAGCTCTTTCAAATTGA